GTTAACAAGCTGAAGAACAATTAGGGATAATTTCACTCTCAAACTTGAGCTCGGAAGTACTGAAATTTAGCGCGCCCGAACACATCATCGACACCGTCTAGCAAGCCGATCTCTTTCTTCCTGACTGCTGTACGCCCTTTTAACGCCTAGCTGTCCCACATTCTCCGGCTGGCCGTGTTCACAATGCGGTCCTATCTTCCCGAAATCTTCCTCGGACCTGGTCTGCGCACCCTCCGATCACGATCCTCCCTGCCCCATCCGCGCCGCGTTCCGAAGGGTTCCTAAGAAGTCGCCGGTAAGAAAAGGGTTGCCGGGGTGCGAGAGGACAATGGACAGGCAGCCGGTGTGGATCGTCGAAAAAACGCTCATAAAGGGATAAACGTCAGACGGGACTCGAGTTTAATGGCGCGTAAAGTTCGACGTGTTCCTGGACCGGGTGAACACGCGTGCGCCGGCAGAAGCGGGACGATGACAGGAGGGGTACGTGACCCCATGGTCCCCCTGCCTCTCGAATCCTCGGCGTTCCTCTTCGTTTCGGCCTGGGCGAGGCGTCGGAGCGGTGTAAGCCGATATTTGGAGCAGGTCGATCGACTTCATTAACGCGTCCCGTGGCAAATATTGACTCTGGAAACTGGGGTACGAGGTGCACGTGTGTACACGAGCTACCTTGTACCCCCTGGTCACCGTTCCTGCCTTTCACAGTGGTCTGGCAATTCGCTTACTCCGGCTTCAATTATTTCAGCGTTGTCTCGACGGTTAAGGTTAGAGCATAGTAGGTCGTTGAATTCTTTTCGGCATGCGCGAAGGTTGCAGGAAGTTGCATCTAAACTTGATATCATCTTCTTAGGAATTGTTTAGGCTGTCGTACGAAAAAGGTCTGATGCTAAAACTCTTCATAGATTTTTTTCAAAGCACAGATATTCGAAGCTGAAATCTGATGTCTAACATATTCTATCGTCTCTTTGAAATCCTTTTCGAAGTTCAAATTGCAAACATCTTCGTATTCAAGAGTACGCCTGTAGCATAATTAAATAACTGAAACACAAGTACGCCTAAACGTGAAAACATAGAAGTAGTATTTTAATGCTCTAAAGCGTATAATCAGAACGAATGTTTCAAGTTCCAATTTTAAAATTTCAACTCTACGACGTTTGTATTTAATTACAGAGTTACTTTATAGAAGCAATATCTCGACTGTCGACGTTTCAAAGGGTTATCGGGTCACAGGAAGATATATTCGTACCGAAAAATCGATGCCGCCATTTTTTGCCAAAAATTGCCCCGTTCCAGACCGCCGTGCCTTCGTGCAGCAATCCTCATGAGCAGATTATAGAGGCCGAGCCTCCGTTGTTCAGGCTTCACCGGGATTTTTTGCATATCAATGGAAGAGGCTGCTGACCTGGTAGTCGCCGCGTTATCTGATGCTTCGTGCCCCCTGATAAGCGTCTCGGTTGCGGTGAAACTGCAATGGCCGCTCGAAGCCGTGCCTAAGCCCGCTGGGAACGGGAATTCGGTGCTCGGCTGGAATGTCCCACGAACGCTCGGGCTGCGATCATCGGAAACGAAATGGTCGAACAGTGATCTAACGAGGCGTACGCCGCGTCCGCGGCCGCCGCCGAGCCGAGCCGAGCCGAGCGGAGTGAAGCAGAGCAGGGCTTTGCACGATCCCCGATATTCGAGAGTCCAGTTGAGCGCGCCTTCGTGTTTCGTGAACGGATCGAATTCCTATCGTCGAATTGGAAACGCCACGAGCCCGTTGCCGTAACACGAACCTCTCTATCCGTCCAGTTAAGGCGCATGAATATTCAGAAAGCGCTATTAATCACGAGGGTTTCGTATCGAAATCCGATTACGGAAACCAGAAACGCGTGAGCCGGTGTTCCTCGAAATAATTGATCGAGGGGGAGGAGGGGAGAGAGAGAGAGAGAGATACAGAGCCGACCGGGAGTTAAAGATTCCGATTAGCGGTGAAACCGCGGCGGAAATGGCGGCGGTAGTCGATTTCACGGATCGGAGGACAGTTTAGGGCAGAGAAATCGATCTCTCGCCGGCGATGCAGCCGATCCAGCCTTGGCCCGAATTAACCTTCGTGGGATAGCATCCGATATCAGTCTCTTTTAGCGGCGCGCGTCTAACCCGATCCTTTGTAAAATCAATAGGCTCGGCTACTTAAATGGTACCGTTCGCTGGTTATAGTCACCGGTCGCGATCGGCTGCGGCCCCGCGGATACGGTTACGAAGGTTGAATCGATGCGCTCCGTGATTTACTGTTAATCGCGAGACCACTCTTAATCAACGTCGACCTGCGTAAGCACGCCGCCGCTTGCCAAACCGATCGCGAACAGATTCCGGCCGATTCGACTCTCCGCGCCGATGCTAACAACGTCCCCGATATCAGCTCCGCGCCCCGTTTTTGCGCCGATTAACCTTTCCTCCGTCCTTTCCGGCCCGCTCTGCATCATGCTCGTCGCTCCCAAGATCCCGAACCTCCCGCTCGATTCTCACGAACTTTGCTTTTAGGTGAATTTTCACGATTCGCTCGACAGTTTTACATAACGAGTTCGATGTTCGCTTTTCGTGGACTGCGCCCTAATGGCTGATTCCAACGCGCCGCTACCTGGGAAAGATAACCGTGCGAATATTTTCGTAAATGCTACCGTTGATATTCGAAGAATTGTTTCGCTACCGAACAACTGGATATCGGAGATATCGCATCGTGATCCTGTAAATCTGATTGCTAAAGTAGCAAACGTGTTGTTTGTTTACACAAATGTTTAGAACGTATTATTTGTCTTCCTTCTCGGTGTTTACGACTTCGACGCGCGATCATCTTCTTTACGAAAGATAAATTCACTGTTTGAGGAAATTCATGCACAAAGTGATAAACAGTTTGTGGATTCTTCGGAACGATAAAAACGAAAAGAACGTTGTTCAGCAATTTATTGAATTTTTCTGCGAGGATTATTTCGCCGGTCGCCGTATAGAGCCTTTCACCTTCGACGATAGAAACTACGGGGTCTATAAACTTGCGGCCGAAAAAAAAGAAAAGTTAAATACATTGGCGATAAATGTTTATGACGCAGAGTGCACGCATATTAATAAAGATTAATTGTGCTACTATTATACGTTCACCGCGGGGAATATTCCGGTCGGAGAAATGTTTCTCAGATTTTCATAAAGCAGTTAATAAAAATGAGAATTTGCATAAAGAACCGCGGCCGAGTGTTAAGTAATCTGACGATTACACGTTCATAGAAAGCTCTATTATATAAGCTGTAATAAAATCAAAATTCTGACGCAAAGATCGCCGGCCCGGAGTGCATGTGCGCGGAGTGCACGAGTAAAATGCACCAACAAAGTGCGCCACGACAGTACGCGCCCGCGAATCGAGGTGTCCAACGGCCTAGACGGCAAAGCGATCAGAAAATCTGGAAAAAAGGCGGCCCGGTAATTGTTCGGGCATCGGCTGTGTCGGAACGAGAGCGAGACGAAGGTTGGGGCGAGAGGAAAGTTACCTGTTACCCGGTTCTTTAAAGACAGAGGGAAAAGAGGAGGATGGCCGGGCCTCGTGAGCAAACGGAATGAAAGAAAGAGCGGGCGTCAAACAACTGCGTCGAGAAAAAACTCGGAAACCTTAACGAACTTGCGGCTCCACTGGTCGACTCTGTTGCCCTTGTTGCTTTTGTTCTTCCTCCGTCCTCCTCGGTCGGCTAGCACAGGGAGACCGTTGGCGTCAGATCGTTTCCTTTTGAAGAACAATCGCGAGGGAACGATTAGAAGGGCTCGGCGTTCAATCGCGACATAATTATACTCGCTTTAGATTCTCGTTAAGGCGTTAATGACGTCTTAAAACGTGCATCTACCACGGCGGAGGCCGACGCGATGCATTCAATTGCGTATTAACGGCACTCGTCGGAATCGAAATTACGAAGCAGCTTTTCAAATTCGAAAACGATGGAAACTGGGGCGAAACTGATTGTGAAATTATAAATTGGAACCAGCTGCAAGCAGCTCTGCACAGCGACGATCTGTATGTTAGAGAGCATTTGCCGAGAGAGGTTGGATTTATCGACGATCTCGTTTGAGTAAATTATACTGTGTTCGATCATCAGGCCAGGTGTCTTCCGCTCCGTTGCTTAGCGTAACGAATTTATTAAAATATAAAAACCAGCTTGTTTCCTTCGCCTTTTCCACCCACTTGATTTCGGAGTGTTCTTCTTGTTGTCCGAGCCTGGAGGATCTTCGCCGAGTCCTTCCTAACGACTATAATTAATACATTTCCACTGTCTGCTCGTGCTCCGATGTTCTTATCAGATCATCGATGGTCTAATTTGATTCTCGTTTCCCCGACACCGGGCTGCGTCAGACGCCAGTTTTCCTGTAGATAGCGTTGATTTACGATTCCCCGGTTCGAACGGGACGTAACCTGTCCCCGTGAAAACAGAAAAAGACACTCGGCCGTGCCCGAAAAGGGCTTAATGGTCCCGGCAAACGACATTAATTTATTAATTGGCCACGAGGGATAAGGGAGAGGCGGCCTGGCCTCGACAAATCTGTTCCCGAAGTTAACGATCGAGAGAACAGTCGGATACGGCGCGGAGAAACGGACGGAATCGATCGGGTCGCGATGCTCGGATGCCTGAAGCATTACTACACACCGGTGAACCGTGTCAGGGGCGATAATGGTCGTAAAAAAGACGGGGAATAATTTTTCAAGCTCTCCCGTTCCCGGTAATCCAAATAGCATTCGAACATCCGTAAGATATTGTGGGAGGAATAAAAATCGAAGCGAACACTGGGAACCGGTTCGTCACCCTCTCCTCTGCACTCCTCTCTCACTCTCTCTCTCTCTCTTTCTCTCTCGTTTCTTTCTCCCTGCTGCACCGCACCCCTGCTGACAGACCGCTCCGTCTCCTTTATCTTTCCAAGGATGAGTCGCACGAAGCTGACGCATTCGCACTATCCGCCGCGAATAATATTTATAATTTCTATAATTACAGATGAACCAACAGTGTAAGGTCTGCGGTGAACCGGCGGCTGGTTTTCATTTCGGCGCGTTCACGTGCGAAGGCTGTAAGGTAAGGAATCCGTTTAATCGTCTATTTAACCCCGACGCTTATCGCGAACCTCCTCGTCTGCGAAAGGTTCCGCGAACGAGATCCCGGAAAAATCGGGGAACAATTTTCCACCGGGAAATCGCGGTCTTGGAAATCGAATAGATCTCTGTTAGATAGGTCTCTGTTAACGGCTGCACCAGGCACTGCACAGAGTAACCTGGAAATCGGACGAGAATAGACATCGTGACGGATCTTCAGATCAGATAGTCGTGGTTTGTTCGGCAGAAAAATGCGAGTTTTTCGAATAGTAATAACAGTAAACTTCTTCGAACGCATTAGGGAAGGATATGTGTCTCGATGCCATGGTCAGTGCAGTCAAGACAATTAACTATGCGAGGTAACTCGTGCGCGGGGAGTCCTGGCGAACATTATAATTCTGAACTACGATCGGACAGAGGCTGCGCATCGCGTCACCATCGTAGTTCAGAATTACAATGTTCACCCGGTAGACGCTCCAAAACGCTGTCCGGGACCCCCCGGACTCCCTGGACTCCTCTTTCTTGACTGCAGTGGTCATAGCTATGAAAATAAGCGATCGAGACGAATCAAATTCGCATATTTTTCTACGCGTGTAAGATCTGGGGAACAGTGGAAGCAGTTCGCGGAACTGACCTTGCAGTTTATTAGTTAATCTGGACAGATGAACGTGCGCTACAATCATTTTTTAAATATATTTTTATTATTATATTTTAATATATTATATTATATTTAGCGACTGAAAGTCATTGTTGGACACTATTCGAATCATCCAGATAATTGTTCGAATGAATAAATAATTTAATAATTTTATTCGCGTACAATTGTCTCGCGAATAAGGTTACTATTACCTTATTCACGAATAAAATATAATTCGTCCTCGCGGATAAAAATAATGTATATCTAAGCTACTATTCCTTGAACGCTATGACACATTCTTTCGCAATGTCAACATTGACCGCAACGTCTGCTCGTATCGTCAACAACAGAGACAATCTCTTGGTATCTGCAGCTCACATTAATCCCAGAAATCCCGTTTCTTATAAATGATCTTGTAACACGCTCGGAAATTGTGTAATACACAATAAAAATGCATCGTACGCCACAATTCAATCGGATCGGCCAAAAATCTTGTACGCCGCTTTGCAACGGGTGAACAGATTTCGCGCGTCGATAGGCTGTTCCGTTACGCGTTGCTCAACACGTCAGCAACAAGATAGCGTCGTCAGACGCGTACGCGTAAATCATGTATCAACGAATTAATTGAGGCCGCGTCGCGCGCACGCGGCTTGCCTTTCGCGCGCGACGCTGTTCTACACGCGTTGAAATCACCGGCCGAATCTCGCGTCGGAAACGACCCGCGCCGTCCGCTCCGATTTTGAAGGAAAGAGAGAAAGAGAGAGAGAGAGAGAGAGAGAGAGAGAGAGAGAGAGAGAGAGAGAGGGTTAATAAGCCGCGACGAATCGCGAACAGGAACGAACGGCACGCACACGGACACGTCGATCGATGAAGAACGCGAGGAAGTCCGGTCTTGATGGACTGACGAGCGGGAGCGTGCTGNGTGTAAGATCTGGGGAACAGTGGAAGCAGTTCGCGGAACTGACCTTGCAGTTTATTAGTTAATCTGGACAGATGAACGTGCGCTACAATCATTTTTTAAATATATTTTTATTATTATATTTTAATATATTATATTATATTTAGCGACTGAAAGTCATTGTTGGACACTATTCGAATCATCCAGATAATTGTTCGAATGAATAAATAATTTAATAATTTTATTCGCGTACAATTGTCTCGCGAATAAGGTTACTATTACCTTATTCACGAATAAAATATAATTCGTCCTCGCGGATAAAAATAATGTATATCTAAGCTACTATTCCTTGAACGCTATGACACATTCTTTCGCAATGTCAACATTGACCGCAACGTCTGCTCGTATCGTCAACAACAGAGACAATCTCTTGGTATCTGCAGCTCACATTAATCCCAGAAATCCCGTTTCTTATAAATGATCTTGTAACACGCTCGGAAATTGTGTAATACACAATAAAAATGCATCGTACGCCACAATTCAATCGGATCGGCCAAAAATCTTGTACGCCGCTTTGCAACGGGTGAACAGATTTCGCGCGTCGATAGGCTGTTCCGTTACGCGTTGCTCAACACGTCAGCAACAAGATAGCGTCGTCAGACGCGTACGCGTAAATCATGTATCAACGAATTAATTGAGGCCGCGTCGCGCGCACGCGGCTTGCCTTTCGCGCGCGACGCTGTTCTACACGCGTTGAAATCACCGGCCGAATCTCGCGTCGGAAACGACCCGCGCCGTCCGCTCCGATTTTGAAGGAAAGAGAGAAAGAGAGAGAGAGAGAGAGAGAGAGAGAGAGAGAGAGAGAGAGAGAGAGAGGGTTAATAAGCCGCGACGAATCGCGAACAGGAACGAACGGCACGCACACGGACACGTCGATCGATGAAGAACGCGAGGAAGTCCGGTCTTGATGGACTGACGAGCGGGAGCGTGCTGGGAAAAAAGCTTGCCCAAAGCGAATCCGTAAGTGGACGGAAAAATCGAGCGGGACGGATCGATTGCCGCGGATCGTCCTCCCGCAGGGATGGATTCGTCGACGGAACCTTATTCGGAAGTTTTATATGCGCCGCGGATCGTTCGAAAGCAATTATCCGAATTCCGCGGTTATTCTTCCCGAGAATTAACTCTTTGTCGCGATAATAACGCGTATCCCGAAAAAAATGCTATTCAATTTGATCGAACCGGCTAAATACGAAAAAGAGAACGAAACATTTGCATTCGAAAATATTAAGCTTGTTACACACGGTATTGTAACGATTAAGTAACTGTATTACATTATTTGGACGGCGAAGTCTGAAATGGCATGTAAAACGAATCATTATTGGGTTAACGTGGGATAGAAATGCGTCGATTTTGGCGTAAAATATTCGAGCGGTAATTGATTTACGATCCAGTTTCACGAGGTTCGCTCGGAACTGATTACGCTCGCTTTTAATGCGTTCAAAGTTCTCCGAACGCCTCGAACGCAGTTCTTAGAAACTATAACGATAGCGAGGATTTCTCTCGGATCCGATCGCAATCGAGTTCACAGAATCGATGAAATTAACAATTTGCTCGCTTGGATTTCCCGTATAAATCGCGCGCGCTCGAATTCGACCTTTATCGCAGCCTCGCCGTAATTGAATTCCTCGAAGTAATTTGTTACCCTTTCATTTGACATTATTATCTTTCTTCCTTAGAATCGGCGTTCGGCAAAGTTTGATTCGGACGACGGATAAGGGATAAAGACTAACGGATACAATTCTATTTGATTACGTACTCTAATGGCTCCTAATCCGTATACTATATACGATCAACTAAACTAGACTTTTCCGTAGACTAAACAAATTTCACGTCATCATTTATAATTCCGTAAATCTCTGACGAGAACGTTCATAAAAATTCCGAATAGTTTTTGTCAAACGTAAATTCGCGGAGTAAACTGGCTTTCGAACTGGAAGTTTGGCATTTGTGTGTAGCGTAACGATCTGAAATTATGGCTCATATCTCGAACGCTCGAACAATGTTTCCCAAGCCGGTACGAAGCAAGCCTGCTTTCATCTTCGACGGCGATTCGTAACGTCGCGATCGGGTACTCGCGGGGACAGCAAAGCGGGGACCGCGCTTTCATCGCGATGTCCTTCGACGGTTCGCCGGTCGCGGGATCGATCGATAAGGACGCAAATAATATTCAATCGGCGGGTTCCGCGGGGTGCACAGGCTCGCACACGCTCTCGCTCGCGGTGCGGAGCGGCGAACGCGCGTACACAACTCGCTCGCCGACAGGACGATCCTCGAGTCTCGTTAGGCCGCGTTTAGTTGGCCGAAGGGTGTTGACCCTTGCTCTCGTCTCTCGTCCCACTAATGTGGTACACCGTGGAATATCGGTACCGCATACTAAGTGACCCATCCGATAGTAATTGGACCTCATTAAGGCAACAACGGGGCCCACGGGTTGTCTCTGTTCTGCCGCGTGCGTTCGGTTTCCCGGAGAGACCGAGCCGCCAGATAACGCGTTTTAGGTAAATTAGACTCTCTCTTTGTGGACTAGGATCGGATCCGTCGGGGAAAATACGGCCGCCGGTCTACGCCATACAGATTTATGTCCGTATATCTGCGTTGCCTTCGATGGCATCCTCCTCCGAGACCGGATTTTCTATCGTCCACGCTATACATATACCCTCGCCTTTCCCGCCGTTCTGAGTACCTACGCGATAAGGGGCGATGCTCATGAGTTTATTAAGGCCGGCGTAGACTGATTGTCGGCTTCGACTCGATGATCCGTGAGAGAGTTCCTTTCCGGATGTACAGTAAATTCTTCCTAATTCGCGCTCAGATTGCGCACAAAAATGGACGATTTGGGAAGAGCAGGTACGATTGTTCGAGCCTTGCAACTCGTTTTTATAGTTACCGATTGTCAATAATTATAAATACGAGGTGCAAGACTCAAATGATCGCATCTCCTTTTCCGAAATTGTCCATTTTTGTGTACAATCTAAGCGCGAATTAGGAAGAATTTACTGTACTATGAACTGCAAAAAGATTCCATTTCTTTTGAAGGCATTTGAAAATTTTAGGAGATTTCCGGAGATTGTACTTTGGTAATTACTAAACATTTTCGTGATTTTAACGTTCGTTTTGAAGCAGTGTTGCAATTTTTGTAGTAGTAACTATACATTCAGTAAGAATTTGAATTACTTATTGGTTTCATTTGATTATGATTTACGTTAAAATTGTTGATATTATAAAGATTTTTTCATTGAATATGGCTGAATCCATTTTTGTATTCGACCATATATTATCCTACGTTATTAATATATTATCATCCCCATAAAGCAACACATATTAGTCAGTTTTAATGTTCACTAGGTTTAGTTTTAAGTAATTATAGTCTTCTAAACTGGTTAGACAA